AATTACAGGTAAGCTTTTATTAAAACTAATGGAACTGTATTAAATCTGTATATTTCATTTTATGTAAATTCAGCCTTAAATGTTAATAAATGACTGAAAGTAAGCAAGGGGAATAGTTACATTTTTTTCCAAAGATTGATTTATTTATGCATACACGAGCTGGGGTATAGGCCAGAGGTGGGGGGGGGGGAGGTGAGAGGGTTCACCAGAGACAGAGAGAGTAGGGAGCAGAACAGGTGGATCTACTGAAATACACAGCTGAGGAACAGTGGGCGAGACAGGACAGGTCTGCTGGGGCCCATGTGGGTTAGCTCCTGGGTGGGGATCAAACCCATGAACCCATGCTGCAGGGCTGGCAACAGCTTTATAGCACTGTGTCTTTAACCCTTGAACCACCAGGTGGGCCCCAAGAAATAGTTACATTTGAAAATACTTTTCATCCAGGAAAAAGGTATAGGTACTTTCCTATCAACTTTTTTTTTAATTTATACAAAGCTGGGTACAGTCAGAAGTGCAGGAGGGTGAGAGAATTCACCAGAGCCAGAGCAGGGAGAACAGGCAGACGGACGAAATACACTGCTAAAGGGAGCAGTGGGCAGCAGGAGAGGTCTGTGCGTCATGTGGGACCCTCACCCGGCGGCCTGGGATCAAACCGGTACTGAAGAGGCTGTGGGCACCTTCGCAACCCAGCACTCAACCGCTGCGCCACCAGGGAGGCCCCCTATCAACTTCTTTTTAAAGTTAGTAAAGGAAGTACAGAAATAGGAACTTTCAAAAGTGAGCTTCCTAAACTAGGGTTCTCCAGAGAAATCGAACCAACAGGATGTGTATAGAAAGAGGTTTGTTTTAAACTATTGGCTCATGCAATTAGGGAGGCTGGCAAATTGAAAATCTGCAGACTGGAGACCCAAGGAAAAGTTGCAGTTTAAATCCAAAGGCAATATGCTGGCAGAATTCCGCCTTCCTGAAGGTCAGTCTTTCTTATAAGGTCTTCAACTAACTAAATAAATCTGAACACATAAATGGAAAACAATATGATTTTTTCAAACTCTACTTAAATGTTAATCCTATCGAAAAATATCTTCATAAAACATCTAGAATAGTGTTAGACCAAATACCTGGGTACCGTGGCAGACCCAAGTTAACACATATACGCTAACCATCATAATTGCAAAGAGACAGTCATTACAAAGGGAAAGAAACCATGCTGGTTTATTTTTAAAAATATTCAGGCGATCAAACTTTTACAATTTCTGATTATGAGAAAAATTCATGTTTTACCTCTTCATCCTTCCTTTCTCAAGCACTATTTCTGTCTCCCTACTAAGTGAAAAATGCTTCAAGGAAGCTGGAAGCTGCTTTAAAAGGATAGAGCACCAAGAATAGAGTGGTGCACCAAGAATAGAGTGGTAAATAAAACACATCCACATTTTGCCTCCCTTGTATTCTAATGGGAAATAAAAACAAGAACTAAATAATCATATTATATGGAAATCAGCTGAAACTGAGTTATATACCAAAGGGAAGACAAAGTACAATGGCAGTTGCTCAGCTTGACAGGCTGGGAGAGGAGTGTCCTATCAATCTTCATATTTTGCTAACATATGAGTAGTATTCGGGTAGGAGATAGTATCAAAAGATGTTAACTTTCATCAGGACTGTGTGCATAAATGGGGATAAAGGAACAGCTGGATGTAGCTAAAGGAACACACCAAGAGAAATGCTGGGAAAAAGCTTAAAATATATACATAAGCCAGACTACTACAGACCAAACATGCTCTGCCCAAGAAATGTGGGCTTATTCAGTAGGCAACTGGAAATCATTGAAAGATATTTAAGTAAAGAAGTGACATGATCAAATATATTTTTAAGAGATAGGAGTAGAGAGATGATTTAGAGGCCAAAACAGCAACAGAGAAGCTAGGTAGAAGAGCCAACTACTAATTTTAAACATGGAAATGTACCAAGAAAGATAAAGTCATGTTGTCTAATGCCTGGTCAAAAGGGTCTAACAGTGAACAAATATCTGATACTAAAAGCTTTCCAATAAAGCTCTTCAAGAATCATGAGCTGTCAACTTCTTTCAGAAACACTATACACTCTCAAGTTGCTAGTCACTAATAAATTTGACGGGGTAAAAAACACATACAACTGGGCCTCCCCGGTGGCGCAGTGGTTGAGCGCCGGGTTGCGAAGCTGCCCTCAGCCTCTGCAGCGCTGGTTTGATCCTGGCTGCTCCCCGGCCACTGGAGGGAGGGTCCCACATGGCACGCAGACCTCTCCTGCTGACCGCTGCTCCCCTCAGTCCTTCTGCCTGCTCTGCTCCCTGATCTGGCTCTGGTGAATTCTCTCACCCTCCCGTGCTTCTGACTGTACCCAGTGCTTGTATAAATAAATAAAAATAAATCTCTAAAAAAAAAAATAAAAAATAAAAACACATGCAACTAATGAAAAAGTTAAAGTGGAAAAAAAAGTAACAGGTCAACTTTACAGAAACCTAGGGAGGGAGGAACTGGGAAGACTATGTTATAAAGTATATATACACTACCCATTATGATATTATGGTTCTAATATTTGAAAATGAACTTTTTGCAAGCTTTAAGCACTAAAAATAATTTTTTACCAAGTATAATTGATTATACTTGATGTAAGTGATATCAAATCAGTTAAATAGGATTAATTGATATTTCTTAACTGTCAAGCTAGCCGAGATAAAACGGATAGAAATGAAGGAGAAAGAAGGGTCACACCCTTCTTTCTCCTTCTGACTTATTTCATTTAGCATAAGCCCTTTCACCTCCATCCACATTGTGCCAAAGTTAAGGTTATCTTTTTTCATAGCTGAGTAGTATCCCATTGTACATATGTACATCTTCCTAATCCACTCATCTGTCTTTGGTCACTTAGTTATGTATTATGGTGCAGGATGTGATCTGTCTTGGTGATGTTCCATGTGATCTTAAGAAGAATGTGTAATCTGGGCCTCCCCGGTGATGCAGTGGTTGAGCGCTGGGTTGCGAAGCTGCCTGCAGCCTCTGTAGCGCTGGTTCGATCCCCGGCCACTGGGCAAGGTTCCCACATGGCGCGCAGGCAGACCTCTCCTGCCGCCCACTGTTCCCCACAGCAGTGCACTTCGTTAGTCTGCCTGTTATGCTCTCCGCTCTGGCTCTAGTGAATTCTCTCACCCTCCCGTGCTTCTGACTATACCCCAGTGCTTGTATAAATAAATCTTAAAAAAAAAAAAGAAGAATGTGTAATCTGCTGCTGTTTGGTGAAGATTCTATGAATATTGATTATATTCTGTTTTTGTTTTTTTATGACCTTCCATCTACCAAATCCTTACAGATTTTCTGCCTCCTGGATTTGTTAATTTCAGTCAGAGGGTTGTTGAAATCTTCAACTATAATAGTAAATTTGACTGTTTCTCCTTCATTTCTATCTGCTTTTATCTCAGCTAGTTTGACACTGTTAAGAAACATCAATTGGGCCTCCCTGGTGGCGGAAGGGGTTAAGCACTGCACTACGAAGCAGTTCACAGCCTCTGCAGCATGAGTTCGATCCCTGGCCCACCAGGGAGCAACCCACGTGGCGCAGCAAACCTCTCCTGTCTCACCCGCTGCTCCCCTCAGCAGTGTATTTCAGTACATCTCCTGTTCTGCTCCCCACTGTGTCTCTAGTGAATCCTCTCACCCCCGTATCTCTGGCCTGTATCCGGGCTCTTGTATGCATAATTAAATAAATCTTTTTTTAAAAATCAATTAATCCTATTTAACTGATTTAATTGATATAATCACATAAGCCTTGGTATTTTATAATTATACTTGGTAAAAATTATTTTTAGTGCTTATCTTAAAACTTGCAAAACTTCATTTTCAACTGAAAAACTTCTAGAAGATAATGTTAAGAGAAAATAGAGGCTTTCCAGCAGTGACAACCTCCCCACGAGAACATGCCTCTTGCAAAGGATCTCCTTCATCCCTCTCCAGAAGAGAAGAGGAAATACAAGAAGAAGCACCTGGTGCAGAGCCCCAATTCCTATTTCATGGATGTGAAATGCCCAGGATGCTATAAAATCACCACCGTCTTTAGCCATGCACAAACGGTAGTATTGTGCATTGGCTGCTCCACTGTCCTCTGCCAGCCTACAGCAGGAAAAGCAAGGCTTACAGAAGGATGCTCCTTCAGACGGAAGCAGCACTAAACGCACCCTGAATCAAGATGAATGAGAAACACCATCTTAATAAACAAGTTTTGGATAGATCCAAAAAAAAAAAAAAAAAGAGAGAGAAAATAGAGGGATGTTGCGTTTGACAATGACTTTTAGATAACACCACCAAAAGCATGATTTGTAAAAGAAAAATTAAGGGGGACTTCATTAGATTCAAAAATATATGTTCTGTGAAAAAACACCTTTTAGAGGATGAAAAAACAAGCCAGACTGGCAGAAAAATATTTGCAAACAAGTTTAACTTTTTTCTATGGAGGTTAATCTGCTTACATTTTTTACTGTCTGTGTAAAGCCATTTACTATTACGATAAAGCTGTATGTGGGTTAGCTCCCTGGCCAGGGATCAACTCAGACCATTGTGGTGGGCCTTCACAATGGTAGCACTGACACTTACCCCCGAGGCCACCAGGGGTGACCCTTAATGAATCTTAATGTCAACTATGGACTTTAGTTAATAATGCATCAATATTGGCTTATCAGTTCTAAGAAATTTACCACACTACTGTAAGATGTTAATAACAGTGGTCACTGCACAGGCAGGTATGGGAACTCTTGCATTTTCTACTCAATTTTCCTGTAAACCTAAAACTTCTCTAAGAACTAAAATATATTAAATTTACTTTAAAAAGTCATGATCAACTGTAATTTCTTTTAGAAACATTGTAAGTTCTGTCTGAGTTCCTGGTCACTTATCAATTTGGGGCAAAAACATACACACTACTTATTAGAATTTTAAGAAATAAAGGAGAGGACAAAAACTGTCATGACTTACCAATTGCTTCAAAGGTCAACTTAATAGAATCCCAGGGTGTCTGTTCTTTGGATACAAGTCTGAAATGACTAGGAACTCTTGGAGAAACTTCCAGGGCAGGAAGATACCAGTTTTTCCTATTTGGAAAGATAGTTTCAATATTTAGGATGCATTATTAGTTGAAAAACATTTTGGAATATAAAAATAAAACTGACGGGTATGATAAACAAAGCCAGTTCCTCTGCAGTCCAGGTTATTGTGTAATGAAACTTTCCCAAAGTTAAGAACAAATGATTATATGTTATGGTGATTCTGCCATCCATCCTATTTTTCCTCTCCAATCTTTCATTGCCAAGCCATAAAAAGTCCCAGAAATAAAGTAATTTAAAATTGATGCTGTAACTGCTATCAGATCGGTTAAGATCTAATCAATCTTATGAAATTACTCAAGTTTCTAAAGGGAAAATTTCATAAATTTGAAAAAGCAAAACTATGCTTCTTCGTGCTTTATCCCACTGAAGAACTTTAGAATTGATACAAAAACCAGTATAAATAGCACTTGATACTTTTGCTACCCATTTTAAATAATAAGGTAATGATATAGTACTAGGACTTGAGGACAAACACCCCCAGTTAAAGCAGAAAAGTAACTAACCAACCTGATCAGAAAGTGCACTGGAAGATACCAAGGGAAGCCACAAAGAGGTGCATTCTCCTCACAATGAGCTCGGATGGAATCATTGATCTCAGGAATGTGAGGGGTTATGTGAGACATTCCAGTATAATCAAACCCATTGATCCATATTCCAGAGTCCTGTTTAACTATGTTTCCATCCAAATTATGAAATGTTCTGGTCATATGCTGTAAAGAACAAGACTAATGAGAAAACTATTGTTTCAACTATTTCATCCAAATCCCCACCCCAGATTAATAAAAATTATTAAGTCTGACAATACCAAGAAATATGTGGCTATAGAGCAACAGGAACCCCAATACAATGGTGGTGGAGTTATGTGCTGGCATGATCACTTTAGCATTAACAGTAAGCAAGCACATACCCTTCCAGCCAGCAATTCCACTCCTAAATATGTACCTTAGAGAAACTCTTACAAGATTATAATAGTTTTGATTCAGCACTGCCAATGTTAACAAAAACTGAAAACAACGCAAATGTCCATTAACAGTAGATGGACAAATAAATTGGGGCATTCTTCTACAACAGAAGACTTGAGCAATGAAAAATAGTGAACTACAATGACATAAATCATCATAGAAGATTCTCACATGCTGTTGGGTAAAAAGAAAAGTCACAAATACAGTTTAGCTTTTTAAAATGTTCAAAAACAGGCAAAACTTTATGCTGTTTAGGATTCATATGTATGTGATAAAATAAAAACATTTGCACTAATGATTGACTCCAAACCTCAAGATAGTGAGTACTTCACAGCAATCACAGCTCACCACTAGATGATAAACTTGTGCCTAACAGAAGTCTATGAAAAAGCACCATGTCCCACTTGGAATAGCTTTATTAATAGCAAAAAATAGACTGAAGAATATCAAATAGGAAAAGAAAAAGGAATTCATAGGTCAGGGGTTGGTAATCCACAGTCCACAGACCAAATGGCCCATTACCATTTTGCCAACTTCTGGAACTAGAGGAGAGAACGCCAAAACAAATAAGAAAAGGACATTTTAATAATATCTAGTTTTTCTTAACTACTACTAGTGTAATAAAAACAGCACATCACTGAAAACTAGCTGTTCTTCACTAAACAGTTTTCAAGTTGTAAAATTTGTCACATAAAATGTTCCCAGGACTGTAAGAAATAGTTGTTACTTTTGCAAACTCTCCTTTTAATTTCAAATAATTTATAACTTATCCAAGTCTTTGAATAATTCTCTGAGGTTATGATTCTTGACTTTTCTATCTGACCACTCTACAACCTTTAACAGAGATAAAACCTGGAAATAGGGCAACTCACTCCTTTTTCCTGTGCTTTATGAGGGCTAAAAATTTCAGAAAAACATGTAATTTTAAAAAGTTCTAAATCTCATTAATCTCTTCATAAGTTATACTTTCATTATCATGTTACTTTGAATATTACCTAAGATTAATAAACTACTTTTCCAGTTCATAGTTCAGATTTTTACTCATTCTGCAGGCATTTTTACAATCTGTACTTTTGGAAGTTTCTTATTCCATGATACGTATTTGCTCTTGTTTTTCCAATTAGGTGCATTTTTTTTATCATTTCAATAGTAATAAAACAAGCAGGCATACAATTCTGATTTAGTCTCTTGGGAGAAGCATGCCTAGCTGGTAAAAATGCCTCTTGATGATCAGTCTGTTCCTCACTGCCTTACACACAAAATAGTCACGTACAACTAAATAAGTCAACAGTGAAAAAGGCCCATAGGTTTTCCTGTTGACTAGTGAAGCTCAAAGTAATAAAGCTTTCCACTCCAGAATCTCAAACAGCTCACGCAGAAATGCTTTTACCTGAAGAAACACTCTCTTTGGCTTCGGACTTGCAGGACTGGAGCTGTATGGGAAAAAACTTCCACTGCAAACAAGGAGGAATGTAACTGAACATACCACAGTTAAAGTTAGCATGGTTCTTTTTGTGCTTTTGGCAAGATAGATGAAGTTCATCTAAAACACAAAACAAAAAAATAGAAAAATTACAAATTCAGACTACTGGCAATAATGTATTTTAAATTTTTTTCAGCAAGTATTTAACAAGTATTATCTGACAAATAATGAAGAAAATTTATCAGAATGTGCAGACTACTCCAACATCCAAAACATAAAGCTGTAATTATAAGGGATTTCCTCGCAAGTGAGAACTTAGATGAATGAAAGATGGCTGCAATCTGCTGTGATGGTGTCTTTTTGAAAGGCAGCCAGAGAACAAGTGGTAAAAAGGAAACAGCTAGTGCTACTGCTTAGCCAGCAGAGACTAAAGGATGTAGATCCATCATGCAATTAAACCAAAACCTTACTTTATTTCAAATTCCATCAATGCCCTGTCATTATTAACACTGAACAGCAGACACTATTTAAGTACCAAACAATAATCTTTTATTAACACAACCTATCTATCAGACAATCTAATTATGTAGATGTACAGGATTTTATAGCTATAAGGTAACAAGATCCCATTCAGGGTAATGCACTACACTGGTTTCCAAAGATCTTATATTTTCACAGTATAAGCCCAATAACAAGACAACATACTCAAGGACTTGAGACGCGGGAAGTTAGCAAAATAGAATTTATGACCCTGTCTGACCCTCTTCCTCCTAAAAGTCTCAATATTTAAAATGTGGCTGCTAAGTTTAGATGAAGATACTTCGTTCAAAATAAAACCTCCCTGTCATAAAGCTGTGGTTCCTACAATTCTGAAGCCTGCTACTTCCCAAAGTTTTCCTAAGATCTCCGTTTAAGCTACTGTTTCCACATCCTAATTCCCTCTTCTCCAATTCTTCTGCCTCTTCCACCCATCTTCTGGAAGATGTCTGTAAATGGTGATAAATGAAATGACAATCAGAGGGGAGAAGAGGATAATCTCAAGTGACTGTTAAGATACCACTGTTTGGATACCACTGGTCTGAAATTTCTGTTTGGATACCACTGTCTGAAATTTCGCTGCCTTCTATTTTGGTCCTAAATGTTGCATCTTATGTCACGCTAGGCTCTGAAATGGGTACAAAATAAAATAAAGATAAGGTATCCAGTGTGTGCCACTTGACTGAGCTGTTTCCTTCTGAGTTTTCTCCTGAGCCCACTCCTATCAACAGCCTCATTTAATCAATACAACCATGACAAACCCAGCAAAGGATAACCCCAGGAAACTTGCTAACTGATCATCTGACAGGAATTTAATTGCCTTCTACCAAATATATTTAATAAATCCCTGAAGCCTGAAAGCTCTCTTAAATATGCATTGTGGTTCAATTCTCCATTAATCAAGAACAGGCTCACTCTCTTTATTACTGCTACATGTAAATAAGAAAACAATGAAGAGACACAGCATCAAAGAGCAGCCAGCTATTTCACAATGAAAATTGTCAGGTTTTAAAGTATTCCAAAAGGCTTTCCTAACAATTTAGATGTTATTCTTCTGGTTTCCGAGATTTTAATGCTGGGCCTCCCTAGCGGCCTAGGGGCTAAAGCTTAGCACTACTACTGCAAAGGCCTGAGTTAGATCCCAGTCAGGGAGCTAACCCACACATGGCACAGCAGACCTCTCCTATCTCACCTGCTGCTCCCCTCAGCAGTGCATGTCAGTATATTCGCCTGTTCTGCTCCCCACTCTGTCTCTGGTGAATCTTCTCACCCCCACCCCCACACCTCTGATCTATACTCCAGTTCTTCTATGCAAAAATAAAATTTAAAAATTAAAAAAAAAAGACGTAAATCCTACAGACAAAAAAACACATTTTAGACTTTTCATCCATTCCGACAAGTAAGGACTCGATCTTATCTTAAAGGTAAATTGGATAGAATACTCAGAACTGTTTTTAGGACAGGTATAAATGACTTCAAACAATACTTGACATAAGAATTCCTGTAGAGGGCTAAATAAGCAGTCACATAGGTGGACATTTATTTAAGGAATGTCCCTGGTAATACACATACACACACACACACCCCTACAGACCCCCATTCACCTGCGGATATTCAGTAATACTTCTTAGGAATTCTAATGAAAAGAGCCATAAGGCAAACACCTGCCTCTAGAGGGACCAGACCTGGGGAGCATTAACACCATGTCTAGAGTAGACCTCTGGAGCTTGTTCTAATGAAAGGGGGATCTGCTTGTCAGCTCTGCAACTCTGGAGAATCTCAGGGAAGAGAAACTAGGATGGAAACAGCAGGACTTTCCCTGTGAGGACAGAACACCACCACAGCCAAATGAAAACTAGCATGGCCTATCACACTTTCATTACTCAGTAAATGCAGCATGTTTGGGTGTGTAAGTGTACATAATTTAAGAAATAGACTCAATTAATGAACTTTGTACTAGCAGTGAGGTAAGTGAATGATAATGGAAAGTTTCATCATATTTAGTCTTCCTTCATTAGCTCTAACAGCACTAATAAAACTAACACATTTTTATTAACATTTGCCTCTAATTAATAACTTCAAAACATACTACTGGAATCATTCTAAAAATTTATCACCAAGCAATCCTGACCAATTCTTGCTTGGTATGCATTCCACAGATTCACAGTCAGAGAGTTTGAAAAACTACTGTAAGAGTTGATATCAGTTTTAGAAGGATGAGAAGTGAAAAATAATAACAAAAATTCCACTGACAATAAAAAACCCCATTCTATATTTTCTTACCACTGACTCTACAAAATGCATAACCATTCACCATTTCTTTTGCTTAAGAGTTGGTCAATAAAGTATCAGCAACACTATTTCTTAGAATCTAGTATAGCAAAACTCATCACATCCATAATAAAACGAAGAGTTAAAAATTTTTTTCCTTACAAAATAGGAAGAGAGAATCATCGTACAGCCAGCCAGAATGGAAGCCAGCACAACATCAGGTGGAATTTCTGAACCACTTCTACCAAGGATAGGGGTAAACATCTCAAATACTGCCCAGATAAGGTACAAGGCATAAAGATATGGAACAAACATCCCCAAAAGGTAAAAAGCAATAAATTTTCCTTGGGCACCTAGGAAAAAAGGAAAGAAAATATAAAATTCTGAAATCCTACAATGAGATCTAGATTTTTATAGTACTGGTGTACTTTGGCACCTAACAGAAATCAGGTTACATGTAATTCTTGTCCATTTGCTCATGTTATCTAGTGAGATAAAAACAATTTCATTCAGAGAAGATAAAAATACTTAAGAATTAAATATGTAATATCTTAGCATGTATTCACAAATTTAAGAATTAAATGGGTATAAGGTCAAAATAAAAATATGTGTGCTAAAATTAAAAAAAAGAAAAACAAATTAGAAAGCCTACCCACACATTTTTTAAAAAGAGCCTCTAGAAGCCTTATTTCATGTATTTTAAGGTTATTATCCCCATTTGTATCAAAACCAAAAATACCCTACCATGATGCTTAAACTCCTTGTGCACACAGAGCTTTGTAAGCAATGGAAATGCCACCCAGACAGCACTAATAAATGCTGAGCAAAGTCCTCGATAAGTGAGAGTTACAAGGAAACCACAATGAACAAATAGCGAGATGTCAAAAAATACTTCTCCCAGATACCGGTCACTGGCATTCTGAAAGAAAAAATATATAGAAGTAATCTCATACACTGGTCAGTCATAAAGATCTTGCATTATAATTTTAATTACACGTGAGAGCTACATTATTTAAAGCAGGGTCTAGCCTTTAAACTTTAAAATAAACACTATCAAAGCTTCCTTCTATCATGAAGTAGGAATGAATTTACACTGTTGCACAGGAAAAGGGGGGATTTAATAAAACCAGAATAAGCAACATTTGTAAGTGTTAAAAAATAGAAGGACTCTTCTAAAAACATTCACCTCTGTAAGCGTTCCCATTAATGAAACTTCCATAGAACTTCAAGCACACTAGAGAAATAACCTGTGAAGGCGCACGCACTGCTGCAGCATCAGTAGCACACCTGGGGAATTACCTGAAGTGCAGAGCACCTGGGCTTTTGCTGAGTCTTTTCTGTCTCCAACTGGTCTTATTTTGCAACTTAACCCTTTTCCAGGATGCCTGCTGCTTTCACAATATAAAAGTTGATGTAAATTTTTTTATATTTGAAGTCTGAGGGTTCCTGTGCAGTACCTGGACTTCTTTGGAATTTGACACATGAACTTAATGCATTTTAACATCTGATAAGTGACTATATTAATAACATGAAAGTGAAGAAAATTTTTTCCTCTTCTGCTTTCTCATTTCTGTGTGCACCATGGCATATTTGCTATAAAGAACCCTACCTTCGACAGCTCAAAAGAGTTTCAGTCACATTTGCAAAAACAAGTTAATGTTCACTTGACAAGCTCCTTTGGACAATGAAAGATAGGTTGTCATGATATCATGTGATGTTTGACAGAGCAGTGATCAAAAGGCATGGCCTTTTGGGCCTCCCTGGTGGCGCAGCGGTTGAGCACTGGGTTCCTGCAACCTCTGCAGCGCCGGTTTGATCCCCGGCTGCTCCCCAGCCACGGAGGAGGGTCCCACATGGCGCGCAGACCTCTCCTGCTGCCCTCTGCTCCCCTCAGCAGTGTACTTCGGTCCTTCTGCCTGCTCTGCTCCCCGCTCTGGCTCTGGTGAATTCTCTCACCCTCCCGTGCTTCTGACTGTACCCAGTGCTTGTATAAATAAATATTTAAAAAAAAAAAAAAGGCATGGCCTTTAAAAAAAATAACAACTTGGGCCTCCCCTGGTGGTGCAGCAGTTGAGCACTGGGTTGCGAAGCTGCCCGCAGCCTCTGCAGCTCCGGTTCGATCCCCAGCTGCCAGGGAGGGTCCCACATGGTGCACAGACCTCTCCTGCTTTGCCCGCTACTCCCCTCAGCAGTGTATTTCATCATTCTGCCTGTTCTGTTCCCCATCTGGCTCTGGTGAATTCTCTCACCCTCCCGTGCTTCTGACTGTACCCAGTGCTTGTATAAATACATAAATCTTTTAAAAAAATATATATATATATATATAAAAAAACCCTCTTCGGATCCGAATTGAAAATGAATACCACTCAGATCTTTAAAAACAAAGAATGAAAACTGCTATAACTGAAATTTATATAACTTCCTAAATTGCACCCCAAGATCTAACACTCTCAAAATATTCTTCTTCTCACCTCTTGATCCTTTCCAATATTGTCTGTTCCAACCCATTCTACACGCTGTTACTGACGTTTTCATACCTAATGACAAACTATCTCACTATTCTGTTCAGAAAATTTTAACGGTAACCATACTGATATTCATTCTCATGCTCCAACTTCATTATGGCCTATTCTTCTATTACTCCATCTTCAACTCACTGAACTTCTTGACTATAGCCCAAATGCATCTTGTATACTCCCACACTTGTATATCTGGCACACTCCTACTCATGCTTCAGAAAACCAGTTCAAATGTTACCTACCTTCTCCATTAAGCCTTCTGACTTCCACAAACAAAATTCATCTCTCCTAGTCCTGTATTCCTATAGCACAGTGTGCATGTCACTCCATTTCACTTCATCTCAATGTACTATAATCATGTGGTTTCCCCATCTTCCCAAATGAAACTGACCTACTTAATGACCACATTCTTACAATTCTCTGTATCACCATGTCTTAGCACAGTACTAGTACCAGCAGGTACTTCAAAAATATTTGTATAATGAAAGTGAAACACATTACTCGTTCCACTGTGATTTCAGTCCAAAGTTTTATGTTTGAGTAACTGAAATTAGTTCAACTAAATGGAATTTTATTAAGCATTTCTGTCTCTGTCCCCCTGCCCCTTATCAGTAAAATTCAACCACACTCTGGTTATATATCATTGTACGAAGAATAAATGTGAAATTGAGCTGCTTGCTTGATATTTTTAGAAACTGATGTCACTAAGATACAAATTTTAGCTCAATCATAAGCAAATGGTTAACCTCAAAAAACCTTCAATAGGGTTTGGCAATATGAAAGAGCTCATAGGATGTTATCACAACATTAACTGATACTGAGACCAAGGTTCATCCTTGTGAAAGGATGCTGGATTATAGTCTTCCACGTCTCCATTAAAATCCCTAGCAGGACAAATAGGAAAAAAACAAGTATATATTGGCTGTCTTGAAAATAATCTGAAATCGTGCTCTTTCATCATTTCTTTTTAGTCCTATTATTTCATAAACCTAATTTCTTTTATTTTCACCAAATGGTGCATTGTAACCATAACAATATGGCAATATTCTCTAAATCAGTATAAATCATTTGAGCCCAATCTCCTTTCTTCTTCCCACAGCAATTTAACCTCATACATATGTATGCTGTCAGAATCTCCATCAATAACACACAGGTAAGAAACAAGTGAAGGAAAACTAACTGAAGCTGAACTGCAATATTCTTTTTTTTTTAATTTTTTTTTTTTTTAATAGAGGCATGCTTTATTTATTTGTTTGCTGGTTTGTTTGTTTGTTTTGTTTATACATGCACTGGGTACAGTCCGAAGTGCGGGAGGGAGGGTGAGAGAATTCACCAGAGCCAGAGCGGGGAGCAGAGCAGGCAGAAGGACCGAAGTACACTGCTGAGGGGAGCAGCGGGCGGCAGGAGAGGTCTGCACACCATGTGGGATCCTCCTCCGAGCAGCGGGCGGCAGGAGAGGTCTGCACACCATGTGGGATCCTCCTCCGGTGGCCGGGGAGCAGCCGGGGATCGAACCGGCGCCGCAGAGGCCGCGCGCAGTTTCGCAACCCAGCGCTCAACCGCTGCGCCACCGGGGAGGCCCCTGAACTGCAATATTCTTTTAGGCGGCAAATACTGTAGGTTCGCATTTCCTGTTAGATGGCCTAAGCACAGGGACTATAGCAATGAACAAAACGACCCCTGCCATCATGGAAATTACAGTCCACTGGAGAAAAGAGCTATTCAGACATAAAGACTTGGGTGAGCCCAGGGAGGGGTGATACATTTAAGAGCATGGTTACAAAAACTGCAGCATATTCAACAGAGGTTAACAAGCCTTGCGGTCACCACCACGCCAAACACTTCACAGTTTTATAATGTCATTTGAATTCTAAACAAAACAGACTAATAATAAGCCTTCCATAAAATTAACACTATTCGGGGGCTAGTTTTCTATAACCATGCCAAACTATTTCTGATAGCTCAAAAGTACAAATACATTGAATTCCATTTGACTTTCATCCTTGAAAGTAGCCAAAAACAAATAAACCCCCCCCACAAAAACTCAATAAATATGCCTAACACTTACCACATAATAAAATCTCTTTGCAAGGGTATGTATAAATATTATTTTGGCTACAGCTGCAGTTCCATAGAGACAAACAGAGACATAGAAGTGGTTGTACCATGACAGTGACTGTCCAATAAGAGAGATGAACACTGCTATAATGAGAACGGTAACCAGGCTAGTGAACCAACTTATCAGAGTGATGCCAAGTCCACAGAAGAAGTCCTTTGTGTAGTTAGCAGCTAATGAAAAGAAGAAATGAAAATCATCATCTTAAAACATTTCTTAACGAATCAGTAGATATGAATGGGCAAATGTTAAAACAAAAAATTTACCACTAATTGAAAATTACTGAAATGTTCTAAGAGTAAGGTTTGTTAGCACTACAGCATGGAAAGTATCCACAAACAATATTTAGCTAACATTCATTGAGAATCTGTGGGTGCTAAAGACATGAGGACTAGTTCAATTATATTGTTAACTAGGAAAGTGGGTAGCTTTAATCTTTATCACCTTTGAGATGCTTTGTATATAGAAATATCAGCAAGACTGGAAGATAAATTTCCTTATAAAAATCTTGCTAAAAGAAACTGACACAGGAAGAAAAGGAACATGGGAAAGTAACTGTCTAAAATAAAGAATTAAACTCTGCTAAGTATTTTATCTGGTAACAGCACATAACAAATTAAGACTATGAGACATTTAAAATAGAAGATTAATTTCACCAGAAGCATTTCACTGATACTGCAGAACAGCGTGTTATTGGTCTATAGTGTGGAGAAGACTTTTCAATGGGATTTTTCACTTAAAAGTCAACCTGTATAAACCATTTTTCAATAGCACCTAGATGATGCTTCTATGGAATGCATAAGTACAGAGAATTGCCTGCTTTACTAAGAATAAAAATACATTAATCTGATCTGCATTTAGAAATTTATTGCAATATAAATCAAATGCCATTTTTGTATGATTTTTAACTTCTCAGACAGATATAAACTGATTAAAAACTTCAGGCATATTCTATACCCATGTCAGTATTGCAAATTTAGAATTACTTACTCTTATGTTTGGGCTGCAACAACTTTCTGCCCAGGTACCAAACAACAGCCATAACCACCATGGAATTAATTATTAAGCCAACTCGAGATGGGTAGGCAATCACAAATAGGCCAAGCACATCAAAGAAGACCATGTTTCCATGTTGATACTTAGAAGAAGAAGCCAACATATCAGATGTAGCTAGATATTTAAGAACTGCTAAAATGTTGTCACCTATTTGTAAAGAAAAGAAAGATAATGAAGTTGAATACACCATCCCTGAGTAAAATAAAAAAGCTAGAAAGAATGTGAACAGAAATAGCTTTCCATCATCCTACTATTCCCCCTTACTTTTCTTAATAAATATGCCAAAGAAGGCCCATACCCGCTAGCCTATTTCCTCTCCACTTGGAACCTCAGCCCTTCCATTCCATGCAGTCTCTGATCAAACGTATCCTTGTTGCTGACAATCCAGCGGCTGCTTTTCTGTCCCCATTCATTGAATAATCATGTAGTAGACACCACTCTAGATATCAGAAATTCAGTAGTGAATCAAGAGACAAAGGCCTCTCATAAAGGTCACCAAGACTGAACAGGTATAATGATACATGTGTTAAAAATTAATAAGGAATGACAATTAAATCTGAATTAAAAATAATGAGAGGTATTAAGGGTCCCAAGGGAACATATCATGTGAAAGTAATGGAGTTTGAGAAGTCAGGAAAGCCTCTCCAAGAAAGATATTTATAGCTATAAGATGAGTTAGAGCTAGCTACAATCAGTGAAACTGTACAGACTTAAGAAACCCACAGAAAAGAATGTCCTGAGGTCCAAATACAGGGAAAAAAAGTACTGAATAAATACTGTATTCAGAAACAAAGCTGAAGAGTTGTGAGAGTCATCATAAGTTGGACCCGGGCACATCAAAGGTTTATAATGAATACTTTTTACATGAATTGATGAATATATGAGTTTGAACATTAACAGAGGAACAATAAGAACTGAATGAATGACTGACAATTCTTCCTGTTACTCAACCCATCCTTCTCTTTCTCTTCTTTTAGCTTAAAACATGACATTGCCTCACCATTAGATTTCTCTTTGGCTTCTCCTTACGATGTTTCCCCCAAGATACAGGTTTAGTCCTACCTTGGCTTCACCTTTCCAAAACACATTTATGTTCTCCATACTTCCATGGTTTTTCTCAATGCTTTAAATTCTCAAACACATTATATCCATCTCTGCCAAGAGCTCTAATGCTATGTCTATATACCGTATCTGCATTTTCCTCCATTTGTACACAAACTTCCACTTTATATGTCCAACAAGAGATAATGGTCTCCTTTCCCTACTCACTACTGCTCTGGATGAGGGATGCCTTTCCAAGTCCCTACTATAGTCGACAGCATTATCTTTCCCCAGTCAGTCAGGCTTTACACCTTGCAATCATCTTTGATGCAATCCCACTAACTCATCTCTTCTAACCTATCAAGTCTTGAATTTAATTTCAAAATTAATCTAATTTTCCATCCCTTCCCTTTCATTTCTATCTTTTGTCAACACTACAGTGCAGACCCTCATTATTCCACACATAAATTTTCAGAACAGCTTGACTCCTGGCTTTCTCCTGGCCCCCCATCCAATCTACACTACATCATCAGAGTAACAGCATTTAAAACCACCTTAATTGGTTCATTCACATACTCAGGCCTCTGATGATCACTTATTCCTACAGCTGCACCTTGCTGATTTTTAAAGTCTTCTACAATTTTCTCTATCCCATATATACACTTTGAACTCATTTTCCTCTATTTCTAAAAATACAATTTCCATTTATTGATAGAAATTGTACTCTGACTATCTGCTCATCAAGAAATCCCTCTCCTTCACACACAAATACACTCTACTCATGCTGTGCTTTTATTGGAATGTCCTCTCCTCTCCATGGGGACAAATCCTACCAACTCTAAAGATCAGCATCAGACTCAACCTCCCCTGACTCACTCTCTCTCTGGAAAGCACTTTTAATTTCCTTGTCCCTGTGTCCTTCTGACACCTATCTTATAACCTACTCACCATCCTCCTTGGATCAATGAAACTATCTTCTACACCTGGGCAAGCTTCCCAAATATGTGATGGTGCCAGGTCCAATGCACAGCTTCCGTTTTGGCCACACTCTCATTGCTTAACAATCCTACATAATGCTGGGTCAACTCTTTCCAATTGTTCACAATGAAAATTCTTAACATTCTTCATCCTTAAATTAGTCTTCAAGGATAATATTCAAGTCCTCATCTCGAATTCCAAAACCCAAGTTCACTCACACAATATACTACACCTCTCTAATGAACAGTCCACACAATATTTATAGATTTATTGGCTATTGCTAATATTCCATCTTAAAACATTTCAAAAGTCTAAATTAGAATACCAACCTGCTCTCTGAATGGAATCTGTTAGAATCCTGTCCGCTGTGTCATACTTGGTGTGATAAATGTATCCGTTCTCAATAAAAGCTAAGTCTATTCCTAAGACATACAGGGAAGGAAAAAAAAAGTCACTTTGTTTAAAGATCAACCTTCCACCTATTTTTTTAGGCCTAGTTATGTATTAAATTCCTAAGGGACAAAGTGTCAAAACATTAACATGACTGCTTTGTCATATCTACAAAAGAATGACGTAAAATTATTTTCCAAATTCTTAAAGACTCTACAACTACTATACATAATTCAATACATAATGAGTGAGAAAGTATACCACTACACAAAAAGTCATTGAAAGTGATGGCAAGGGATAGTAATATTAAGTTTGGGAGATCATCAGAACCTTGCCATCTATATCTTCTTGCTAGGCCTGCTTTAGAGAAGCTGAACAAGTCCCCAGGGGAGCTTGCAAAACAAGATAAAAATGAAAGTCAAACATCCCTAAAGATCTATTGCCATCTTTTGGCTAAAACTGTTCTCCCTTGTTCTTCTCTCATACTGTGGGGCAAGTTCTAGAAAAGGCAAATAATAATTTTGTCTGGAGTTTAAAAGTAAAGGAAAAAACCAGGAACTCTGTTTCAGGAGTCAAACTAAACATCTCTCAGAGAATCTGCGCTCAGAAAATGCTGTTTACTTTTAAACTTCCAAAAAATAAAATCTGCTTTTGATAAAACCATTGTCCCACAATAGTCCATCACCTTGACAAAATACCTGGAATATTTCCAAAATCCCTGTAGATACGAAAGTCAGTATCTGAAGGAATGATTCCACTCTGAAAAACCTCCTGAGCCACCACAGAAGCAAAAGGGTGTTTAGCTGCTGAAACATAAGCTTGGACCAACCAAGGATTTTCAGGACCTGAAATGAAACATGGCAATACAAGGTCAAATCTGGCAATGTTTTAGCATATTATTTTTTTCAACAGACCTAAAATAGGTACTGTGCTGGTTTGGGGACACAGGTACAAAGTTACAATTATTTTTCTGTATTTTCCAATGTTTCTCTAATAAACATATATGACTTTTTTGAAAAACAACATTATTTTTAATTACAAAATAGCAGCACTACAAAAAGTTTACATTTAAAAATAAAAAATTGATCCTCCCTGGTGGCACAAGGGGTTAAGACGCAACCTATAAAGCTGTCTGCAGCCACTGCAGCACAAGTTCGATCCCCCGGCCTTCCAGGGAGCAACCCACATGGCACAGCAGACCTCTCCTGACTCGCCCGCTACTCCACTTAGCAGTGTACTTTGGTCAGTCTGCCTGTTCTGTTCCCCACTCTGTCTCTGGTGAATCCTCTCACTCCCCACACCTCTGGCCTGTACCCCAGCTCTTGTATGCATAAATAAATACATCTTTAAAAAAAATAAAAAATCCAGCCCTCCCTGGTGGTCCAGGGGTTAAGTCTCACTGCTATCACCACTGCAGCCTGAGTTCGATCCCCACCCTGGGGATCGTCCACTGCTTCCCTTAGCAGTGTATTTCAGTAAATCTGCCTGCTGTGCTCCCCACTCTGTCTCTGGTGAATCCTCTCACAACTCTGGCCTACATCCCAGCTCTTCTATGCAAAAATAAAATCTTTAAACAAAACAAAAAACTTAAAAAAAAATTAAATATACACAAGTCCATCATTCTAAGATAACTTTTATCATTCTTATATCTTCAATTTTCTTACAAATGTATGATTGTGCATACATACCTGTACTCATATTTATCCTGCCGACTACTCTTTCATATAACATTATATTAAATGCATTTTCCTACACTGTTAGACATTTTAATAACTGTGTCACATTTTACTAAATATACCATAAAGTTCCTTACTACTACTGTTTATAACTTTTTATCATTATTAATAATTCTGTATTAACATCTTCATGCCCTATAGCTTTTTTCAAGTGCGAGTGTTTTTTTCTGTAAGATAGTGAGACATAGGGCCTCCCTGGTGGTGCAGGGGTTAAAGTCTCAGTGCTATCAAGCTATCATTGGCCACTATGACATAAGTTTGATCCCTGGCCAGAGAGCTAGCCCACATGGCGCAGCAGACCTTTCCAGTCTTGCCTGCTGCTCCCCTCAGCAGTGTATTTCAGTAAATCCTCCTTCTTTGCTCCCCACTCTGTCTATGGTAAATCTCTTAGCCCCCTCTGGCCTACACTCCAGTTCTTGCATGCATAAATAAAAATCTTTTTTTAAAAAGATAGTGAGATATAAACTGTATTATTGATCCAAATTATTCACTTCTTTCTTCCATATAACTTGTAATATCTCCCTGGAGAAACACAAATGCACTTCCTAATCCTATCAAGTGCAGGCTTGGTCACATGTGTTGCTCTGACCAATAGACTGTATGTGGAGAGACGTGCTTCAATCAAGAATAATTTTAAGAATCATCACATGACCTATCGCTTTCATTAACTTTGGTCATGAGATCAATACATCCCTAGTGAGGGTTTTCCTTGAGCCTGGATCTCAGAATAAGATACATGGAATATAACTGCAGTTATCCAGGAACCAAAATATAGCAAGTAAGCCTTTGCTGTTCTAACCCACTGAGACTCAGAAGATAGTTTGTGAAAACAAAATTTAGCAAAAATCTGATTGATGTAGATAGATCAATAATTGTATTTCAGGAAACCTAAGAATGTTAACATTTTTATAACTTTATAAACAAATTGTTTTCCTAACAAAAAATAATAAGGGCAAGAGTGAAGAAATACTGTAGAACCAGACATCCAGATGACCCAGATATTGAGTTACCAGACACAGATTTTTAAAACCATGACCAGATAAGTACAATCTATTTTTTTAGAACATCAAATGGAAAGCCTAGAATTGAAAAATAAACAATTGATGTTAAGAATTTTAATAGCTGGCTTAATATAAAATTAAAGAACAGAAAAAAAGTTATAAAGAATTAAAGCACAAAGGAAAAAAAGAATGGATAATAAAGAAATATGTCTAAGAAACACACAACTTACATTGAAAACACAGGGAAGTGAGTGAAATCCCAGAAGAGGGGACAGAATGAATTAGAAGCAATGTTTAAAGAGTTAACAGCCAACAATTACCAAAACTCAAAGAAAACATCAAGCTATCACATTCAAAAAGCTCTGTAGACCCTCTAAAAAGATAAATATAAGGAAATAACATTCTTAGCACCAAGATATTTGCCTCTGAATATCATTATTCACTAAAAGAACCAGTTCTCCTTAGAGAAATGACCTATTTCCAGTCTGAGGTTAGGAAAAGTTAATAAGTCAGAACATTCTGTGCCAAAAAGAAAGTGATCAAAGGAACATGTAAGAAACATGTCAAAAAGGCACTGGTTTGAAAGGGCCACTGCTGGCCCAAATTGAAACACTGCATGCATGAAAACAGTAACATAAAATAAAATACATAAAATAAAAACAGATAGAATAGCGAAATAAATAAGTAAAGGCAAATCAAAAGCCTTTCTTCTATCAGAATTCCAACTTTTAAACAGATGGAATGAGGGAGTGAGAAACTCAACAGTAAACAAACATTACAGCAAAAATGTTTTGGGGCAAGAATCATCAAGATTGATCAGCTAGATGAGAAACAGGATATTAACATAGTGTCAAAATATCTGTTGTTACAAAGGAAAAAATAGTAACCTCACCAAGTAGATAAACTTGGAAATACTAAATCAAATTATTGTAAGTAAACATCAGCAGTAGTCAGACAGACTTTACATACCTCTTGCACCGAGGACACAAAAGTAATAGGAAAAATGAAGTTGAGGAAACATTTTGAAACCATATCAGATTAAAATACTATTGTTAAAAGACTTATTACTAAAAGACTTATTACTATTTATAATCACATATTACTGTTTAAAATTATACTATTAAAATATTAAAGCCATATTTTAAAAACAAGTAAAGCTAAACTATAAAGGAAAGAAAATTATCATAAAAATGGTTACCCTTAGATGAGGGAAAAGTACATGAGTGGAGTTAGAAAATTATTTGCCTTATGATAATAAGTTCACACTTTTGTGATTTTTTTTATATGATTGTGATATATCTAATAAAACATGACAAATAAATGTTATGCTTCAGGCTTCCCTGGTGGGATTAAATCTCAGCATTATCACCACAAAGGGCCTGAGTTCAATCCCCAGTCAGGGAGCTGACCACATATTGGAGCAGCAGACCTCTGCTGTCTCATCCACTGCTCCCTTAGGAGTGTATTTCAGATCTGCCTGTTCTGCTTCCCACTCTCTCTAGTAAATCCTCTCACCCCCTGCATTCTAGCCTACACCCCAGTTCTTCTATAAATAAATAAACATGGGCCTCCCCTGGTGATGCAGGCGGTTGAGCATAGCGCTGTGAAGCTGGCCGCAGCCTCTGCAGTGCCGGTTCGATCCTGGCCCACCAGCGAGGGTCCCACATGGCACGACGGACCTCTCCTGTCTCGCCTGCTGCTCCCCTCATCAGTGTATTTCATCAGTCTGCCTGTTCTGTTCCCCATTCTGTCTCTGGTGAATCCTCTCACCCTCCCGCGCATCTGGTCTGTACACCAGTTCTTGTATAAATGAATAAATCTTTAAATAAATAAATCTTTAAGTTATGTTTCATCCTGGATTGGAAAACAGACAATATAAGACAATATAAGAATGGGCCTCCCTGGTGGCGCAGCAGTTGAGCACTGGGTTGCGAAGCTGCCCGCAGCCTCTGCAGCACTGGTTCGATCCCCAGCCACCAGATGAGGGTCCCACATGGCACGCGGAACTCTCCTGCCACCCGCTGCTCCCCTCAGCAGTCTATTTCATCAGTCTGCCTGTTCTGCTCTCCGCTCTGTCTCTGGTGAATTCTCTCACCCTCCCGCGCTTCTGACTATATCCAGTGCTTGTATAAATAAATAAATCTTTAAAAAAAAAGCCAATATAAGAAAAAGTAGGACATTACTAGAACAATTGGAGACTACTAAATGTGCCATTTATTAGATAATAGTTTTATATTAACATAATATTTGGGGCTTCCCCTGGTGGCGCAGCAGTTGAGCAATCTCCGGCTGCTGGTGAGAGTCCCACATAGTGCACAGACCTCTCCCGCTGCGCCCGCTGCTCCCCTCAGCAGTGTATTTCAGTCAGTCTGCCTGTTCTGTTGCCCACTCTGGCTGTGGTGAAACCTCGCACCCTCTCGTGTTTCTGACTGTACCCAGTGCTTGTATAAATAAATAAATCTTAAAAAAAAATTTAAAAATTTTAACATATTTGTTGAGTATGATAAATGTGCTGTTATGAAAGAGCATAAACTTTTACCTATTTAGATTATCAAGTAATTTTTTTCTTTTGTTCTGATGTGTTCAATTATACTGATTGACTTTCAAATACTACACCATCCTGTATTTCTGGAGTAAGCTCAACAGACATACATACATGCACAAACATACATTATTGGACTCCATTTGCTAATATTATAATTTAGGATTTTTGTATCTAAGTATGGCATTTACCTACCAAAAGTATATAGACTGAAAGCAGTGAGCATCATTATGGAAGTCAGATAAGATGAAGCCTGAAAAATGTGACTTTTATAAGAGCAAACTTGGAGAAGTAGAGCACCTGCTGGTGACTAGATCTGGTTTTAAAACAAGAGCAAAGGAATTCCACTCTTTCACTGAATTTTTCAGTGGCTGGGAATAGAGAAACAAGGCAGTAACTGGGAAAAGAAGTGGGTCCTGTTCTTTAATAGCGAAAAAGCCTTTCTGTGTGCTCATGGAAATGGCCTCATAGGGAGGGAAGAATGATGAGAGAGAGAAAAAAATGTTTTTAAGTCACCATTAATATAAATCATTCTCCCATGCATGCAAGGACCCAGAAGGTGTTAT